CCCCCCCCCCCCCCCCCGAAAACTAGTTCTCATGGGATGCTAGTCTGTATCCATGGTAACCACTCCCTTAAAAATCATGGTCCCCCTAGAAGAGCTCTAACCTCTACCCCTTGTAACCACTGCTCATCCCTTAATCCAATAGAAACCAGATCTGATTTCCCCTTTAATTTGCCAATACAATATATATTGTATGTAATATGACCATTGTAAATGGTTTGTTTAATGTTTAGTTTTGTAATTGATACAGAAAGCCTAACTTTGAAACTCTATCATTGCAGTCTGACAAAAACTTCAGTGATATATACTTTAAATATCAGCATCAAAATCATCAACATTTGGTGGCAAGTTTATCCCCTATAGCTCCAGTATTCCTCCCCTGCCCCCATCTCCCTTCCGATTCAAAGTCCCTTTTTGCAACATAGATGCTCTTTCTTGGTTCTATCTTTGACACAATTCATTTCTAAGTATGTCGAGTGATAACATAAAGTTCTGGAAAAAAACATGGCACCCCGCCAACAGTTTGAGCACTCTGTGATCCATGGATATGGTCGGCACCTTACTTTGGGTTACTTGGAAGCTTTACTGCATCCCCCGTAAACTTTTTCGGCTGGAACCATCAATGATAAAAGGCTGTTACACCAAATAACAGTGGGGGCATTCATTGTGGGAATATGTTCCCATCACTTGAAACTCAATTTTTTTTCTCAGAGATTCATAAAAATTGATAAGGAAATGTAGCAAATTTCATAAAATACCCATTTCTTTATCAGTTAGGCTGTTTCATCATATTACCAAACCTGTTATGAAATTGGTCTTGTCACATTCTGTCAGCACTGTGTAGCTCGTCCCAGATATTTATGGTAAACTGCCGAGGGTCGTAACTACTTCTAATTGGTTGCGGATCTATACATATTTCAACTTTGACCCCTAAACACTGTTAAACATTCATGTCAACAGATCCCATCTGTATATTGAGCATTTGCAGAAAAAGAAATGAATCTTGAGAACTGGTGATATCAGAGGCGGAAAATACACACCCTTTATATCTCTGGCTACAGCGCCTGACCTGACCTTGACTCTAACGAGACCAGAGGTAAAACTTGTGCATTTTGCTTCCCAAACACAATATACTGCCTAATTGTGAGAACGTTATTTAACTGGATTTTTAGTTGAAAAATATCCCGGAAGGTTGATAAAGGTAGTTAATGTGTCAAAAATGTTTTATTCATTCAATTTCTTTAAAGAAAAATATTCCAATTACAAATACGATGTACTTAATTTCAGATTTAAATTAATTTGATGCATTTGGAGCAAATGTTTAATAATTTGGAATAAAAAAAAAGAGACCATTATGAGATTAAATGTGACTCATATAAAACCTCCATATAACGCCATCTCACTTACTGCCACATTTTTCAATATTTCGTTTTCTTCAAATTTTTTGTTACCACTTCCTTAATATTTCACAAAACCTCATCTTTTAAATGACCCTGGCTGTTGCAAGGATATAAACCAAAAAAAATAAAGAAATAACAAGATCCCTTTATAATGCCAAAAAGTTGTTTGTCATTTTGACAGATTTTACTGTGCCTTATCTCTATAAGGATCCCCGTACCACTGCCAAAAACTGTAATGAAGTGTTGGAAACTATTTTTTATGGTATGACTATAGTTTTAATAAATCGTTTCTGAAAAGAAAACCATACCTTGCGGGACTTTCATGACAAATAATCGAGTTAGAAAAAAAAGTAACAACAGTGTTTTGAGTGTAAAAAAGGTCAGCAGGGCAGCATGCACAGTAGACCAGATTTAAAACCCTGGACGTCAGATTGATCGCTCTAACAGAATGAGCTATCTGGTCGACAGAACTGTCCTGTCCCCACTGTGCTATAGTTATATCTAAAACTGTACTGTATAGGAAAACAACAGTGCAGTGGGGACAGGAATCTTTAACTGAGTAAAAAGTTCTGACACGAGCATCAGTTAACGAAGATTTTTCGAAAAACGAATCATATTTCCACATTGTTTACGTCAATTCATTCAAGGTCAAATGCACTAGAGGCAAAAGCTGTCATACGTTAAATCCAGCTACCAGTAGACCTGTAGGCAGTGCGTCCCCATATGTTGAAAGCATCTGTGGTTGATTACGTAACTTTTTGTACCATTGACAGGAATTGTCAACGGTTACATCATAAAAGTATGAATTACAGGGCTTTGTCTGTACCCTTTGTCTGACTATGAACAATGTTACTAAAAATACATGATTGATATTGTTGCAATGTAGTTTTCTGTTTACCTAGCATGGACTTACCAGATCACATTCATCAAAAGTCAACAATACACTGACTTATATAAAACCCAGACCTAACAAAACCCCGACCTAACAAAACCTTGACTTAACAAAACCTCATCTCAACATAACCTCATCGTAACAAAACCCTGATCTACATGTATCTGAAATATGCCCAAAAGAACAATATTTCTCTTATCATAATCAGCAATTCTGTATTCAATTGGGTACAAAAAAAACACCTGTACTCTGAAATATGAGCAAATCTGAATTTCAATGATAATATGCTCTGAAGGGCAACATGCACAGAAATAAACCCTAAAAAACAGCATGCAAAAATATATTCCCAAAACAACAGCATCCTCTAGATATATACCAAAATGAACACTACAGCATCAAAACAATATTTCATACACAAATATTATTGTAGAAGACATACCAGTGATAAGAGCATGGCACTTTTTCTTTGGAAAATCTTGGAATTATCAGCAAAATAACAAAACAATATTTCATGCATGAACCTTATTGAAGACCTACCAGTGAAAGGAGTTTGGCACTGTTTCCTTGGAAAATCTTGGATTCATTACAGAACCACACTCCCCAGCCTAGGATCAGTTGCCACTCTTTATTTTTGTCGAAAATATCGTGTGCAATATCTGGTAGGCGCAGCACCAGATCACCGAACATGGCCACGTTCTCCAGGACCTTAGACATACCTGTTAAGTAAACACAAATTGGAAACAAATTTAGTCGTTTAGATTGTGTGACTTTGGGCATGGTCATTAGCTGTCGACCCTCCCTCAATTTGACCAAAATTTACAAATGTCCCTCAAAAAACTCTCATTGTATGCAAAGTTGTCACAAATCTAAATCATATTGTCAAATGATCTCCAAGTTGCTATACAGAAGATTTTTAATAAACAAAACTGGTGTGTACTGACAGTATTCAACCTTTTTGGAGTTTGAATTCCAGATCATAGCTCATCTTTAAGCCGAAAAAATTGTAAACACAAAGCTGGAATAAATTCATCTATAAGCAAGATTCTGCCATGGTGCCCACACTTCTTTGGATTTCATTTATGAGCTACATTTTTTGCAGGAACGCATTATATATACTACAAGTATCCATAGCGGCAGTCATCTGAATTGCATCAAATTTTCAACTTAGAAGGGACATCGTGTCTCCAACCCCTTAGAGCATTTTGAGTTTGTTTAATGCAAAACACAATGGGTGAAATGAATTAAGTTAATATGTTTCAGACACATTTCATATACTTTCTTCCTCAGTGGAGATGTAGTATGACATAGATCTCCCTCATAGGAGATCTGAGAGGTTGACAGCTATGGGCATGGTTGTCTATTTCATTAGTATTATGGCACTTTTAAAAACAAATCACATTTGTGGCATCTATGGAATGTCCAGCACCTCTTTGATACTGTGAAAAATAAATCATTATGCTTAATATCTTTTAAATAGTTAAATAATGCTAAAAAACAGCAGGCACCCATCAGTAATATATATAACTGATATCACAGACAAACACATTACTGTTCCTACTCTGCGCTCTTGGACATGGTTAATTATTATGGTACCACACAGAGTTACCTCCCATGATGTTATGGGTGGGAGGTTGTTGTGCTACTGTACACGATTTTGACATCACATTCACATTCTCTGTACTTTCTTGAAAATTGTGGGAAAATAAATCCTAATGGAAACAGTTGTCATGGCAACTGAAAATACAACAATTTCTTAGGCAAGGAAAAAAAAGAGTAAACTACATTATAATAGCTGAATTGTTTGTTATAAGCGAATGATTATAATGAGGAAATTTATAACAGGAAAACATCCGGACACACCACCCGCATATAATAAACTTCATCCGCTAAATCCTGTCACACAGGTGTTTGTAATGTATGTGTCTGGTAAGGCAGAAACATAATGATGACTACACCCGTCATGGTCTATAATACAGTGATTACTGTTCTAGCATAAACAGGCCATTAAGTTAAAAATATTGTCAAACATCTTGTGATGCTTTTAAACAATTATAGTTGCTAAAATTGGAGTGTTTGGAAATATTTGAGATCAAATATCGCCAATTCTACACTTAATCAAATTGCTTTCTAGGAATAATAAATGCACAGTGTATATGTGCATCAAAATGAAGCATGGATACCAGCACCTAACCAAAGGAAATAACTATGTGCCAGAAACAAATGCAAGGAAGATTGCTCAAAGTTGAGGGGGAAAAAAAGGAAAAACAATATCTTTGCAACTCAAACCTATCAATGGTACCATTTACCTCAATATAACAAAATTTTCTCACAATTATTTTTTACCAGGATCATTTTTCATGTAAATCACATTATTTTACCTGGTAAAAAATACTTCAGGAAGTGATAATTGTGTACATATTGAATCTATTTGTTAAGGACTTGGTATAATAATAATTTTCTGTGATGATATTAAATACAGCATAATCTCTTGTTTAAAATCTTCAAATCTAAAACAAGCCAAAAGTTTTAGACCTAAATTCTGAACTTCATTTTAACTATTTGATGGTACATAATGTACATGTAGCTTATTTCTCAGCCTATACACAGCTATCATTTAACTCATTCACCCCTGAAGACACATTTGAACTCTTCCAATTCAAAGGATTGAATAGTTCATTATGAAATTTTAGGGGTGAATGAGTTAATGTTTTTTATACACTGAACCTGAATCATTTTTTTAACAAAACTCTTCTAACTATAATTAGTTCTATTTGTGCTCTTTTCCCCTTTGAATGAAAGGGTTACTTCAATATAATGGGCCAAAACTGTGATATTTATATAATGTAATAAAACATACTCTCATTTCTTTTTTAAAGTACCTAAGAAAACCTGCATATTCTGACATACTTGTCTTACATCACCAATATATACTGTCTCCTAAGAAAACCTGCATATTCTGACATACTTGTCTTACATCACCAATATATACTGTCTCCACAGGGTGTCAGATTAAACAGCTTTCATTATATACATAACATACATGGACAATTTCAATATTTCGTGAATTTGTTTTGAAAGGTAAAAAGGATCAAAAATCAGCAGAGAGCGAAACATTGATGTTTTGCACAGCAACTCGTCTCTACGATGGGTTCGCAAAATTCCCCATTTGATATGCCTATACCAACGAGCCATCAACATCATATGAAGTTTGTCTGGGAGTATAAAATACCTGCGGACATAAAAATGTCTGAACACTTCAGCCACTTACAAACATAAAGTACAGATCTGTCCCTCTGTCCCTGATCGGTGTCGACATATTGACATACCGTCACCCTCCACACATAATTTTAACGAATTTTATCTTTCCCAATCTAATTTTCTCACAAATTCAAGAAAGGCTTCAAGCATGCAGTTTAAGACACGCTGGGGAAGACAAGAGTACAGTACCCTACATGGAGACTGGCAGAAACAGGGGTCTTATGGGAGAGTTAGGAGGAAACCGGCAATTACTTTCATTCGACAATATCCTCAGTTGTTCGAGAACTTGGCATGGACTCCTGCGATAATCAGATATGATGTTATGGTTGTACTGTAGTAATTCTACTCCGGCTTGTTACGATCCATATGGTAACTGGAGAATTTTTTTATGTCAAGTTGAATAGTTTACTCAAGAACTTTGATATAAATATATCTACCGGTATATATATTGCATTTTTTGTAACAATTTTAGAGCATCTGCTGAAACGAACAGTCCGCTCATAAACTACATTTCTGAAAAATAGTGATGTCTGCTCAATGTCTGTCTGAATTTTGGTTATGTTTGGATTTTTCATGTAAAAAAAAAAAAGACATTGTATACCCTATATGTCTTTCAAGAAATTCTAGAGATTCAAAATATTTTCAAGAGGCATTCTAGGCATGAGCAAAATCAACTAATTTATTATATTACAATGAAACCTGTCTAATCTGACCTCTGAGTATTCTGAAATTCTGTTCGTTCCGACAAAATGCCATAATCCCATTTCAAATGATAACTATAATAATAATAATAAGTAAGACCTGTATATTCAGGTCTTATCCACACTTACCGACATTTGAAAAATAAATCATGGGATGTTCCTTGTGCAAAAATAAATGTGTGTATATATCCTCAAAGCCAAAGGGGAAAAAACACTTTAGATAGAACCTTTTGAGCTGTTCATTCCGTTGAAATCATTAGATCTTAAAACATAGGAAAAAATTACAAAATTCATCGGTCAGCAATATCAAATTTAAAGGTCCAAAATAGGGAAAGTTGGATAGTATCCACTCTGACTTGCATGTTGTGCACTATACAGGTTGTCAGATAAGACAGGTTTTATTATTCTCAACATATTGCCCCACCGGAATCTCACAGATCTTAGCAATGATCAGCATAGTTATTACAGGAATCAACCCTATAGGCGCTACCAGAGCCAACAAATCTGAATCACATTTTAAAAGCAGCTCTTTCTAAAAGCTGTATCAATATTGGTTAAAACCTTCAAAAATTAAATAATGAAAAAGTTTAATCTTTAACAGATTTTCTTCAAGTGTTGAAATTAATAACTAGACCTATTTGGGTAGATAGATTACATGACGAAAAGATATTTATAAGGGTAAGCTCATTAAGTATAACTTATAAGCAGTTATACTCTGTAAAAAAAAAGGTTTAAACGTCATGTCAGCTTATAGTGTCGTTAAAAAACCCTGAATTCACTAAAATGGTATATATGTTAAAATATCTGAATATTTCCTGTCTGCAAGTGTTTAAATTATCAAATAGGTAGGACTAAGTTGGTTTTTTTCAATATTTTTTGAAAATACAGAAGAGAAAAAATCTGATCTATCTTATCCTTTTTTTCTTTTAAGTTGACTAGGCTTTGTAAAATGTGAACTCTGGTGACTAATGTATTTTACAGAGTTTATATAAATCATATGTATCTATCTATAGATGAAGACAAGATCTGATGATATTTCAGCCCTGATTTTTCAAAGCATGGTTAACTTAAGATCAAATTAACAAAAAAACAATCAATCAAAGTTTTTTGGTCAAAGATGTGGTCACAAATTATTCAGAAGTTTGAAATATCTGCCAAATTCAAAATAAATATCACAAAGGAAAATTATACTAAAATTTGAAAATATTACAAAATCACAACCTTCAAAATAAATGTTGCTACAGTGTATCAAAATGTTGTTATCAAACTAACCAGACAAACTAACCAGTCTTTTTGAGAACAGGGTCCCTTGATTGAGATGGGAATGACAGGACCCAGCTGGACCCAGCATCTCTATAAAAGGTTCCCTGCTACTATCAAACATCTCCCAGATAAAACCTACAGGTCCTGTTAACATCTGTTGCCATGGAAACGTAATTAACGTAAAAGTCATGCAGCAATTAACACAGATATAAACAAGATTTAATTATTCTGTTCCCGATTCTTTATCCATTTTTTATATCTTGTGCATGTGAGATAAAATTCTTTATATTTCTAACAACTTCCTTACATCTTGACAGGGTGAAAAGGAGTTTAATCTTTTGCATTGAAATGATTAGAGCCATAAAAAATCAAATCAACATGTTGAGATGAGCAAGAATGTGAATGGGGTTGAATAATGCTAATATATAGGTAAGCTTATAGACTTTGACATAAATATTTCCTTAGAATAATTGTTGATTTATGTATTTGTAGATAAAAATGACTCACAAGCAATATTAAGCAAAGTAATGAACGCAACAAATACATTTCTTGTTCTATTTTTACAATTTATTGTTTTTCTAATTAGGAAATAAAACGGCAAAAAAAGATGTCTTAATAAGTTTGGTAATAAATGTCAGGGGTCAACCCATTTACGCAGTACATAGCTGTAAATAGTTATAAACGGAACTGTAAACAACCTCCAAAACAAAATAATGTGAAATAAACAACATAAGATGATAAAGAAAGATATAAAAAATCAGCTTTTATAAATTACCTCTTTTGACATGACATTTGACTTCATTAGTTCTAGATATATCAATAAAATGCTCCCTCCTTGCTCTGGGATTTAAATGAACTGATCTCTCTGCAATTCTAAATCTTTTAAATCTGATAGGGGATGTAGAGTGGGGGACTGTGATAATGAGGAGGGGGAGCAATAGCCAATCCCCCTGGTAAGTAGCTATAGCTAGGATAGTAAGGTATTAGACAACCTCCCAGCCTCTGGAGCCCTGACACAGGGGGATGTTGACCCACAAAGATTGCCCTTTAATCCTCAGATCTCCAGATTGGCCTGTTTACAGTAAGATATCACCACATAATCAGTAGGTTCAGGAGTTATGTCCCCTCCCCAGGGGTTTGGCTAAAAGGGCTGTATCTAACTTGTTTGATGTGTTTCCCAGGATAAAATTTGGTGTTGCACACTTCCAAAATTTCCCCTCCTCCCTAACCTCCCCCTTCTCTCTATCATCTCCCTACCATCCTCCCTGTATCTTTCCTACTCTTCTTCTTTATCCCCAAACTATTCATATTATTCTGTCTCTTCCCTATTCTTTCCCAGCCTTTCCAACACCTCTTCTTGATACCTCCTTACTCCTTTCCTAATCTTCTTAATTACCCCCCTTCCTTACCCCTCCTTTCTTTTCCTAATACCCCCTCCCTATCCTCCTGTCTACCCCTCATGACTCCCTTCCCAACCCTCCTGATTACCCCGTGATTACCCACTTTCCTAGCCCTTCTGACTATCCCCTCATCATTATCCCTTTCCATATTCCTTCTATCTTCATTCTCTTTAATCCCTTCTCAGCTCCTTCTGTCTACTTCCTCATTACCCCTTCTTTGCCCCTTCTGTTTAACCCCTTATTACCCCCTACCATCCTGGCTACCCGCTTATTACCCCTTCCCAACCCTCATGATTACCCCATGATTACCCACTTTCCTAGCCCTTCTGACTTTCCCCTCATCATTATCCCTTTCACCATTCCTTCTATCTACATTCTCTTTAATCCCTTCTCAGCTCCTTCTGTCTACTCCCTCATTACCCCTTCTCTGCCCCTTCTGTTTAACCCCTCATTACCCCTTCTCTGCCCCTTCTGTCTACTCCCTCATTGCCCCTTCTCTGCCCCTTCTGTTTAACCCTCATTACCCCTTCTCTGCCCCTTCTGTTTATCCCTCATTTCCCCTTCTCTGCCCCTTCTGTTTATCCCTCATTTCCCCTTCTCTGCCCCTTCTGTTTAACCCCTCATTCCCCCTTCTCTGCCTCTTCTGTCTACTCCCTCATTTCCCCTTCTCTGCCCCTTCTGTCTCCTCCCTCATTACCCCTTCTCTGCCCCTTCTGTCTATTCCATCATTACCCCTTCTCTGCCCCTTCGGTTTAACCCTCATTCCCCCTTCTCTGCCCCTTCTGTCTATTCCATCATTACCCCTTCTCTGCCCCTTCGGTTTAACCCTCATTCCCCCTTCTCTGCCCCTTCTGTTTAACCCTCATTACCCCTTCTCTGCCCCTTCTGTTTATCCCTCATTTCCCCTTCTCTGCCCCTTCTGTCTATTCCATCATTACCCCTTCTCTGCCCCTTCGGTTTAACCCTCATTCCCCCTTCTCTGCCCCTTCTGTCTCCTCCCTCATTCCCCCTTCTCTGCCCCTTCTGTCTACCCCCTCATTACCCCTTCCCTATCCCTCCTGTCTACCCCCTCATTACCCTATTTTCTGCACCACTCTACCCCTCATTACCCTTTCCCTACACCTCCCATCTTCTCATTTCCCTATCAATGTTGTACATCTCTAATAAGTCATTTCCCCCTGCTCTCCCCTTCCTCCTCCTCCTTAATCATCCTCAACATCCAACTTAGTGAGTCACAGATTGGCTCGATAAACCTCTTATTATAGCCAAAAAATAATATGGGCAGTAAGTATCTCTTCCCAAGGTTTTAGTACGAACCTGTATCTACTTTGTCAAAAATTAGCCTAGCTACATGAAATGTCAATGTTTGTTTTAACTTCAGGATCTGTTTTATCAGAAAAGAATACCTGTAGGTGATGAATTACCATGAAGTATGGATATACAGGGGGCGCCACCTGTTGTAAACTTAAGATAGAGGCGTCATAGAATGTCAATCATAGATAGGTGTACAGAAGGGGGTATCACCTGTCGTCATTCTGATAATGGTGTACAGGAAGTGCCACCTGTTGTCATTATGAGTGTGGTGCAAGCTAGGGGGCACAGCAATACATCAATTATATATAGGTACATATATATAATTTGATATTGTTTTTAAGATGCTCTTTTATTGGTTTGTGTCCATCAAGCATTTTTTTTTTTTAAATAAGAACATATTTTCATGATGTCGTACACAAAGTCAGTCAAACTTAAATGCATGCAGCTATGACTTTTGACATTGGAAATCTTATGCTATGGAATTATTCCTGATCACTAGTGAAGATCTAGACACTTTCTCATTTGGTGGGGGTTTATTTTGGGGGGGGGGGGGGGGGTGGTAATGTCCTTGTTCTCGCAACAGTCAGGGTCATGTGTGGACAGGTAGTCTCAATAATGTTATAGCATCTTTATTTGAGAGAGTAAATGAACCTGTAGAAAATTAAGCTTCAGCTCAACTAGAATGGTGGGTCATCATGCCATTAATAAAGAAACACTACTGTCAATTGTTGCAAATAAAAATGACACATTTCTAAACATTTTCTTCAGGTTGGTAAGTATGGATTATGAAAAGTTTCTTGTTACACAACCAGTTCAATAACTAGTATGGTATGTACACTGTCACCTTCATCAGACAAATGACCAGAGAAGTGTATGCACACAAAGGTGTAAGAGTGTTCAACAAATCGATGTTGATTCGGCTACGTTGCAAGTGTATGTACAATAGTTGTTATATCAATATGCTGTAAGCATATGTACAATAGTTGTTATATCAATATGCTGTAAGCGTATGTACAATAGTTGTTATATATGTATAGATTGAGTCAGTTTGGTACAGGTTTTCACTTTCAGTCTGTACATCAATAGACCATTTATTATCTAGTCCAATTGTTAAACAGATGCAGAAGAGGACATGCACCATTGACTGCATTGATCCATTTTCATAATCAAAATAGACAAAAACTATCCAGGGAGTGATGAGTATAGGGGGCGCCACAATAACTGTTTACATATAAACAATACTCACTGTCCCGTACTGTTGTGTTTGTAGGAAATGGATCTCCCGGCATGTATCCCCACTCAGTCAAATTCACCTTCCCCTCACCAAGAACCTGGTGTGAACAATAAAATCCGCTCTTTTTTTTTAAATACATAAATTTGTTCACAATGTTTTTTAAATATGACCCAAGATTAACTCTTTATATTATGACCCTTTGAAAATACAAAATTTATAAAGTCTATAGCAGTTTTTCTCTTTTTATTGTGCTTAAAAACATTTCGTTTTGATTTACTGTTAAGAATTCTTAAGAAAAACTATGTCACCAGTAGAACAAAATTAATTTTGAAATCACAATAAGTCATATAGAACAACCTAAAGCATATTCTTCCGAATTTATCTATCTTAAATTACGTATTTCTGTTCTCAGTTCAAACTTAATTATTTATAATCAAAAATTTTCAATGGAGTAATACTGTATAACATGAAATATTGGTTATTGGTGGGTATTTCTTTCGTGGCTTGAAGCAATTGAGATCGTTTCGTGGTACAAACTTCCGTGGATACCCCATATAAACAAGTAGTAGTCAAATATATGAATTAAATTTGTTGCATTTATTTTCCTGATTCTGTAGCCTCCACGAAAACGACGAATGTTCATATACAACAAACATTTTATGTTATATACAGTATAGCAAATTCAACTGAATATTTAACTTTGAAAGTTAACAAATTATAAACTCTTAACTGACACATATGACGACACATTATCATTACCTTAAACAACTGTTGAACCATGATTTTGACGAGCTGGTGACGCTGAGCGTAATCCCCGAATGTCTGTATCGACTTGACAGCATCCAGCTGCATGACCCGGTGTTTCTCAAACAGGCTTCTGTCTGTTACAAGGCTAAGGAAACTACAGTTATCTCCCTTGGTCAAACTAAACATTGCAGGATATCCCTTTGTATAATTCTAAAAAAGACATTTACTAAAAGCTGGACCTCGACATTGACAGTGTATCATACAATGAAATCAATTTGACAACCTCATAATCTCATAAAATTACAAAAACTAATTATCATATTATTAAACCGATTATTAAATAGTACATTATATTTTCAATTTAACAGGGTTTTTTTGTATTCCAGTTGAAACAGTTCAAGTGGTGTACAAATATTCCATTATAAACACATGCACATGGACCAGGACTGCGCCAAACTTATAAGCAGACCTAAAAACACACAGTTTCAAAGTTTTGTGACCAATAAATAACAATGTATCAAGAATAGTTTGACCTCCTTTCATGATTATACTAAATTTTATAACATTCCCTAAAACACACATGCGAATACCGCTTGTTTTAATGCAAACTAACAATATCTGCATTTTAGTTTCGGTCATATATAAATCTGGCAGCTAAAATGCATTACTTTTTCCTTTTTCAATTAACAAAAAATCTTTTCTCTTTGGATTGCTATCTTTTAATCCTCCTCCTGTCAACAGGGTTAATAATGAAATTATCGTTATCATCAAGAATAAGGTGTTTACACAATTCTTTACATGTAAATTCATTAATTTACATAATTAAAGACAATTATAGAGTTCAAAAATATATTGCAACTGGTAAGGGCGACTCTGCGAAGGAAAAAGTTAATTGATTTATAATATAGTGTACTCTTGTTGTTTTTTACTTGTAAATTACTATTATTAGTACATGTACCAGTGTTATTGTTGTTTATATATTAAGTACTGAAGTAGGCTTCTCCCAGCCCTTGACAAAGCTGAAAATATTACGTCTTGTCTACCTCCCAACCTTTTCTTCCACTTTGTTTCTATATATTTTTTTTCTATTTTTTTCTTTCCTTTTCTTTAAACGTCTTTAATTCTTCCTACTTTCTCTTGTCTGTCCAGTCAATAAAGTGCAATATACATTCATGTAAATCTGACCTTACTTATCACTGCAGGTATACAATAGACATGTAAATCTGACCTTACTTATCACTGCAGGTATACAATAGACATGTAAATCTGACCTTACTTATCACTGCAGGTATACAATAGACATGTACATCTGACCTTACTTATCACTGCAGGTATACAATAGACATGTACATCTGACCTTACTTATCGCTACAGATATACAATAGACAATTTATTGTTTATTTGTTTTGTAACTGCTACCTCAACTTTATGTGTATGATGTCAGGATGTGAGCGTCATGTGACATGTGAAAGGTGATCAAAATATAACGTGTAGGAATGATGAGATATAGAGTATGGATGACATGCGGTAATGAATGATGCTGATGATGATGATGATGATGATGATGATGATAATGATGATGATGATGATGACGCATTGTATGTAATATGATGAGATGTTGTTATATATAAAAACAAGAGTACCGCGGGGCGGAACAAAATACGCCCGTCGAATGCCATATAGTGTTATATACTTTCTTACATTGAAATAAGATCTGCATCATTCTAAGAGTGGTTAGCTGATATACTATAAAAAATGAAGGAGAAAATCTTCAGACATAAAATCAAATACTTAAATGAACAATAAAAAAGGGCAACACATTTTGCAAAAATCGTTAAATCAAAATTCTTTAAAGGGAGACACAACTTCATATCATGATTATAAAGTATACCAAGTTTCAAAGAGATCTGTTAAAAAATGTAGGAGGAGATTTCCGGACAAAAATCAAATACTGAAATGAACAAAGGGCAATAACTTTTGATAAAAACGTCAAATCAAAATTCTTTTATGGGAGACACAACTTCATATCATGATTATAATGTATACCAAGTTTCAAATAGATTAGTCGAAAAATGTAGGAGGAGATTGCCGGACAAACAAAGTTTACGCCGGCCGGACAACGCCATACCATAATACTACTGTCAAATTTGACGGTCGTATAATTAAAGAAATGATGATGATGATGAGAATGATGATGAGGATGATGCATGTCTGTGAGATGTGTAGGTAATGAGGCTATTGTTTATGATGGATGATGCTTGATGAATGATGATTATGATATCTGCTAATTTTATGAAGATGTATATTGCACATAAAATTGAAAATAAAAAACAAATTACAAAAAAAAACACCACACATGTGAATACCGCTTGTTCTAATGCAAACTAACAATCTCTGCATTTTAGTTTCGGTCATATATAAATCTGGACCCCTCGATATGCACCTGCTAAAATTTTCAAGAGATCAGCCTTGGTTAATAAACAGGACTGCTGTTTTCTCTCCTGGTTCATCCGAGTGAATCTATTGAACCAGATACGCGAAAGTAGCAAAAAGAGTCGAGAGTTAAAAACAGTACTTAACCAGAAAGTGTAGAGTTTATCACATTGCTTGTAACCAAAGATAACGGTACTCCCTCCAGCTTCTGTATCGATCTTTTTCTGTATCACTATCAATTTATATGATTGCAGGAACACACATATTGATTACATGAAATGTCTTTTATGTATTTATGAGTTTTCTCCAGGTTGTCACTTGCTATTAATAACACACGGACCTAAAAGTGAATACACAGTATAACAATAATTTGAATATTTCCTGATTTGTCGAAATTATGATGCTTTGAATTTTTTTCTTCTTTTAATGGGAAAAGAGCCACCACAAGGACAGAGAAAATTACAAAATAAGTTACGAAAAAAATCACCCCTATCATCAATGTAACATCTCTATTACTACAATGTGGTATTAGGGTTATTGAATAGAATACAATTAACTCAGAGATCCCAGGAGAAAAGGGTAGTTACTATGGAGAATAATACAGTTCAGTGAAACAAGGTGAAGGTGGGGAGATTATTATGCAAAATACAACTCTTTGAAACAAAGTGAAGCCAGGAAATTTATTAAGCAGAAAAGAGTTCAGAGATACAAGATGAAGGTGGGGAGATTATTATGTAGAATGCAGATCTCGAATAAAAGGTGAAGCTGAGGAGATTATTATGTAGAATACAGCTCTGTGACACAAGGTGAAGCTGGGGTGATTATTATGTAGAATACAGCTCTGTGATACAAGGTGAAGCTGGGGTGATTATTATGTCGAATACAGCTCTGTGGCACAAGATGAAGATGGGGTGATTATTATGTAGAATACAGCTCTGTGACACAAGGTGAAGCTGGGGTGAATATTATGTAGAATACGACTCTGTGACACAAGGTGAAGCTGGGGTGATTATTATGTAGAATACAGCTCTGTGACACCAGGTGAAGCTAGGATGATTATTATGTAGAATATAGCTCTGTGACACAAGGTGTAGATGGGGGGCTTATTATAAAGAATACATCTCTGTGGCACAAGGTGAAGCTGGGGAGTTTATTATGTACAATACAGCTCTGTGATACAAAGTGAAGCAGGGGAGTTTTTTATGTACAATATAGCTCTGTGATACAAAGTGAAGCTGGGGAGTTTATCATGTACAATACAGCTCTGTGATACAAGGTGAAGCTGGGGAGTTTATTATGTACAATATAGCTCTGTGATACAAAGTGAAGCTGGGGAGTTTATCATGTACAATACAGCTCTGTGATACAAGGTGAAGCTGGGGAGTTCATTATGTACAATACAGCTCTGTGATACGAAGTGAAGCTGGGGAGTTTATTATGTACAATACAGCTCTGTGATACAAGGTGAAGCCGAGGAGATTATTACAATACAGCTCTGTGATACAATGTGATACTTGGGAGATTATTATGTAGAATACAGCTCTGTGATAGATTAATATATTGCTGGTAGAATCAAAGACTTAATCTAATTCTGTGCTAGAATACTGCCCTGTGATAGTTTTATATATGGCTGGTAGAATCACAGACTTAAGTCTAATTCTGTGCTAGAATACAGCCCTGTGATAGATTAATATATGGCTGGGGAGTTTATTATCTAGAATCATGGACTTAATATGTCCATGCTAGAATACAGCCCTGTGATACAAGGTGAAGCTGGGTTGATTAATATATACATCAATGGTCATTACTTTCATCATCACCATCATCATCATGGTCAAGCTTATTATGTAAAATATAACCATGCCTCCAGTTTCAAGATGGAGAAGGGGTGATATTTAGGTAAATACGGCTATGATTCATACAATAACAAAAATACAGTAACACTGGTTCACTTGACGGCCAGACATCTTCGGGTTTTTTTCTCCTTCTTCAAACTTTTAAATGCTGGAAAAATTTCAAAACATAAGAATGTCATTGATTTTACAGTAAAAGTGCACAGAAATGGATGTGACTACGGCCATCAGTCAACGACCGGTAACGTAACTGGTGGAGCTTAGAAAGGTATTAATCACAGTCTAGGAATGTTCAATTGTTTCTTGTTTTTATGGTAATGTGTAGGTGTACGCATATACCTTAGAAAACATCAATACTTTTAAGTGGCAAAGTCGGTCAACTAAATTGGACAGGAGAACCTGAGGCCAATTTCAACCTTTAAACCTAAACATGTAACAAACAAGATCATTCAGGGTTCAATTTGCAGTAAAATGTCTTTTAAGGGCCAAAAAAACAACTGAAAATTCAATTTGCAACTGAAATTTACATTTGAAACAGACTGTGTATGTTTCAACCCATGCATTTCTCTCTCCAGATTGGACATTCTTCTTCCTTATTTGTTTACTAGTGTCTTGCTTCACAATACCTCACTTTTGGTCTCTGAAAAGTGTTGATCAGTTGCCCCAGTGGGGTAGCTATAGACAATGGGTTCTGTCCCCAGCTTCTGTCTCCTGTTTATATTGGTTTACCTGTTTTCAGTATAAGGCTACAGGATGGGCTACTGTGCTGGGTGCCTTAGGTATTTCAGTGGGACGGCACTCTAAAGCCAGCATCAGATCTAGATCTATACTACAGCAAGGAGGCAAATACACCAACTTACCCTGCCTCCGGTACACATATATACACACATGAATTTGAATACATTACATATATGGGAACACATCCTTAAATGACCTTAGCTGTTTATAGGATATTAAACCTTATTTGTTTGTTTGTACGTTTGTTTTATGTCCTGTTCACAGCTATGATCATTTAAGGACGTGCCAGGTTTTGGTGGTGGAGGAAAACCGGAGTACCCTGAGAAAACCACTGACCTGTGGCCAGTACTTTGCGACTGCCCCACATAGGCCTTGAAGGTGTGTGACCCAGTGTTTGAGGGCTAGTTATTTTTTAAACTAATAAAACCAAACCAAATAGGATAGTGTATCTCTGTAGCTGAATCATCTCTTGTTGTGGTATATGTCATTCAAAGACATATGCAATGTTTTACATATCATAAAAATGTGATTTGTGTTGGAGTTATCTCCCTTCAAATAATTCATTTCTATCTGAATGTTATCAATGCATTTATTGATTTGGCAAAAACAAGTTTATCAACCTATAAAATGTTCTAATTACTAACTTAGATGAAAATATCTTTTATGCAATTAAAAGTTTCACAGCAAGTAACTGGACTGGGAAAATGTGCAGTGCAGTTTAATAAATTATCGCATACTGATGGGATTTTTATTTTAGCCATAGTTTTCTGTGTATTTTTGGAATTGCCAACTTTCTTAAGGATCCCCATACCACTGCCAAAAACTATAACTACACATGTGTTGATGTTTTTTTCCAGCATATTCTTTTATCTTTAGCTTTGATAAAACATTTCTGTAAGGAAAGCAATGCAATTACCTTAATGCAGGACTTTAATCAAAATATAAGAAAGATGAGATAAACAAAACAATCAACAACAGTGTTTCGAGTGTAAAACTCAGTGGGACTAGATGGGGATTCGAACCTTGGACTTCAGATCGTTATGACATCTAATTGCCAGGATTATGTCTAGCTACAATGTACACATATATCCAAAAACAAAATTAAGGGGAGGTTACTTAAACATGACAAATCACAGTGCAGTTGGACAGGGATCCTTAAGTTGGGAAAATAATGAGTGACAGGATATTGATTTATCGAATTCCATTATTCTTCTACTTTTTTTATAAAAATCCTGTTCAACTTTCTGAAGACAAGTCCTTCATATGAAAAAGCAATTATTAGAAAAATTAGGAAATGAAATTTTGTTCTCCAGCTATACTAAAAAGCAAACTTTAATATTCATTTTATTTCATTTATTCATTTTATTTTTTTAATATCAAGATTTGGGATCAATTCTTTTATTAAATTGGAAAGTGTTAAAATCTCATTAGAAGTTAAAAACTATTTTAGCTCCAAATATATGAGCAGGTAATTTTCTATAGTTACCAATATGTTCATTTGTTTATTAGCTGAAAAGTGTATAATTACTATCATGATCACATCTACTTAAGTTGATTATCTAAAGTCATTCATGCATAAAGTTGTTTTCATTTAATTACATTAATTATGTATCCCTTGTTGGTCATAACTTCAAATGTAGCTAATTCTAGTCTAATGAACATATCGTTTTATTTATTTTTAAATATTTTTATGTTTATAATGTTCCAGCAATATTCACATGTACAAATAAACAAAGTTGATGGCCCAGCCTAAGTAAGTACATGGAAACCTAGACTTTCTCTCATGGTAGCTTTCCGTGTTTCATCAAGATGTTCCGTACCCAAAAATCAATCCTGTTTCCATGTGAGTAAGTGGAACCCCAGAACTCCAGTCAGACTACGAAGATCAATACCACTGGGTGAGGTATGGGCCCGGTGTAATATCTGTTAATGGCTGTGACTGGGAGATAGGGCATTTTGTGCCTCCACATCCAAAACAGTTCACCTCCTGTTTTAGGGACGGAAAGGAAACTGCCATACAAACTGTAGCATATGCTTAATTGATGTATCTCTTCCCCTCCCATTTCCTCTTTTATGAGATATATCCTGTTGTACTGAGCTACAACATTAGAAATGATACCATTAAATACACTACTTTATAATATAGAATTAAAGTTTGCCAGATATCTAGACAGGGTAGGAACAATGATAATTCGTTTGTCTGGAACAAGAACTTGATCGTTAAAAAAACATTATTGTCTGTTATTTCATATAGACCAAACTGAATGATCAGGCTAGACACTTGACATCACATCTGTCACTACTGCAAAAGGAAAAAGAAATAGCTGTTTTTTTGTTTGTTATCATTATTATCATACACGGTGCCTAAAGTTTAGATATTTCATCCACTCTAGTGGCCTCCTCTAGCATTGAATCAAGCATGGTTATTAATATTAGATTAACTTACAGTGTTTCAGAATTGCATGAAAGATTGTCAGAATAAATCAATAATTTTGCTAAATAGAGCAGGACAAATGGAACTGTTAGTACAGCTTTCCATAAAAAGCTCGGAACTCATAAGGAAGCCAAGGATGTGTGATATTTATGCTTGTTGAAAGCGGATATTATGGTGCGGTGCGTTTTAAAGAAAGCTTCAAGGATGTGACCATTGTGTGATGCGGTCTGCTGCGTCACAAGCTGCTACGGTGTTGAAACATGCAGGTTGATTTCAAAGCTAATTTTAAATTATTAAATTTTATATTGTTTTAGTGACTATATATGATATGCATCATTGACAGAAGTTTCAATATGAAAATAAAAACTATAGATTATTTATAGTAATATTGCAGCGTATGTTTATATTATATACATATTACTGAGACATGTAAGGGTACATTCAATGCAAAAATAAACTATAAGATTTGTATAATGTACATTTGATATTATTCATGTTTCCTTTGAATCATCTAAATCTACAGTCATCAACATTTTCTACTGTGCAGCCATATGTATATTTCATCATTATTGCTTTAAGGGAGAAGGCAAACTTTAAGTTTTATAACTTGTATCTAATCCCTTTTGTATTTTTTTGCAAATAAAATATGTTAAATCAAATCATAAAATGAATACCGACAGTTTTGTTTTGTTTTGATTCTTTACATGTAAATATGTGCTGTTTTTTTATTCTTCAATCAATGAGGTGGAAAATAATTGAATTTGCAGCTAAATGTAAATGTGAAATATGCTCACCACCGGTTTTAAATTTTGTTTTCCTGAAAATGTACTTTGGTTACATAAAACATTTTAAGTGCAATCAGTGTTATATTGAAAATACATATCAGTATAAATATAAATAATTTAATTCAATGCAAACAAATTCTTATAATGGACATTGTACTCATTTATGTCAGTCTGTTTTGTACACAAGACAAGTCATGGATAAAGACATGAAAGCTACTGCTAATTATGAAGGAAACTGCTATCATAAAAGCATATCAAATGATACAAATTACATTTTAAACTGTAATAATTGTCACTTTAATAATTGTCACTTATTAGTTTTAAAAATAAATGTTAATCTACAAAATCACCAATATTTATAAGATGCAACCATAACATAATACATTTCCGACATGTAATTGTAATAAGTTGACAATTTATACTTTCTGAGAAAGTTTCATGGATGAACATCAATGATGAACAAGGATACACATATCTATGGGCGAGACTTTCCCTTCGCCTTCATGGCTCTGTTGTGACTCCTCCGATTTCCCACCTCCACTGCCATCGCCAGACGCAGAAACACCACCAATAATCGCACACGTCACAAAAAGTATACTTAAACGATACATTGTGTCACGTTTTGCATCACATTACGACGACAAGTATCAGTCGCTGTCAGTTCTCCAACCTGCAGACGCCGGTTTGCACATCCTCTGTGACCTGTCAACACGTGGAAGACGTACACAAAAACTTGGGAAACACCCCTTTCAGAATACCTCGGTCTTTTATTTCTAAAACGTATGACGAGTCTAGAAAACTCCCGAATGTCTGCTATCTCGCGCATCCGGAAATAGGGAATTTCTCATCATGGCTGACGTGGAGTTCCACGGCCAAGAGGTTAGCAACAATTTTGTTTTTCTTTCGTTCGTTGAATATTGTTATTATAATATGAATACTTTAATGTATTTCTTGTACTTCATTCATCAAATATCGGCATATGTTGATGGTTGAATGGATGTAGGTTATCCCAGACGCGACACTCGTTTTGGTTGCTGAAGTTGTAGAACGTCCTGTGAAGTTGTCATTTACAACAAAGTTGGCAAATGATATTTTCAGCTCAACTTTGTCCTTTGATATAAAAATGTGTCGATTAAAATTGTTGACAGCTTCATTTCCGACTCTCTCAATTCCTGGCAAATATATACCTTCAAAAATGTTGTTTTTGTAACGATGAAATTAATTTAATCTGGTCTAGATTATAATTACTTGTTATAACAAATTAGTCAATCAATGCATCTCCAACAGTGTTCGATTTTACACGGCGAGATACTTTTCAGTCGGCAAAATCATATCCGATAGAAAAAAGCCCGACCAGTGGCCTCTTAGATAATGGTGTGCATACACAAATCAATGGCAATTGAATTATCAGGTCGGGGGAAACCACTAACTTGCGTATAATACGCAAATTAAACTCGCCTATTATACGCCAATAGGGGTATGGATTTGTTACTAAAAATTGACAAAATGACTTTAATCTTAACTTTTTCAAATTATTTGTCCAAGTCGCATTTATTCTGTCATGAAACATAATACAAATGCAAAAATAAACTTTATTTGCATGTGGGAAAGTACCATAAATAGATGCAATACTTCCGGTAAAGTTACGTCAAGTTTCTAAGTAGCCAACGCTTTCAGTAAAACATCTTTTAGCAAAATATTATTTACCTTGTCGTAAATTAATACGATTTTTAATAATATCGTGCAAAAGTTACTGTTAAAGCGATTTGGATTATTTTTAGTAACAAATCCATACTCCAACTGGCGTATAATAGGCTAGTTTGCGTATTATACGCAAGTTGATGGTTTTCCCAACCTGATTATTTAAAGTATAGGGCTATTTTGGTTGTGAGCAGCAGGGGAACCACACTAATGTCAGTAAAGAAAATACAACAAATTACCATGCCCTGGCCATAGTCAATTGTAGACAATTTACATGTAGTTTAAACTGCTATTTTCATGAAAAACAATCTGAAAATAATTGCAACTGCAAGTGACCACTGCATACAAGTTGGTTTTGGAACATTTAAGATTGTGTACTTCAGTCCAAAAAATAATCACAGTTAAATTTAGAGCTTCTTTGGCAGTTCAGATCTTTCTGTGGACCTTATAACTTTTCCGTTTTTAGACATGTGCATCATTTCATCAAATCAAGCTATATATTTTGAACGATGTTTTTTATGTTGTATATTTCAAAAAATATTTGTGTCTGTGTAAATATTATATATATGATATCTATTATCAACGTGTCGTGTAAATGTATGACGGAAGAAGGCTGTGACACCTGTCAATTGTAATAACTTGTTCAAATTAATTGGCAATAAAATATGTTTAAAGTGTAAAAAAAAATTGTCCTAAATGCTGACTTAAATTATTCTATTGAGGGTTTTTTAAGGTCATCTAGACTAGTCACCTTGGTTTTTACTGTTTGAACTAAGGTAATTTCTATCGAGCATAAGTTCAGCACTTGCATTTGGTTTTAATGTAAATAAAACATTTTAGGTTTGATTGTGAAAGACCCCTTACCAAAAAACAGACAAAGGCATACACGCATATAAATTGTGTCATCTTCTTTTGCTTCATCAGTGTTTTCTTATTGTGTCAGCAGGGAATGATGAATGATGTGTCTCTGGAAGGGGAGATAACTGTTCCTGGCCTAGCTCAATCAGAAGATGACGATGATCAATTCTCTACCTTGGATGAACCAGTCAAAGAGACGGTGGTATGTACATTTTGATAAACACAAGTCAAAACTGCATTGAGCAAGAAAACTAATTATAAGAGCTGCTTATTGCTAAGTTTTACTGCCGAATACATGCTGTTTCCCCTAGCTAAAGATTGTCTTATTTTCCAATAATGACCAAAATGTGAGGAATACATTTCCAATTTCAATACAAATAATGCTATATTTTCCCAATTCATAAAGGAACAGGCTGTTGTAAAATTCAGGTTACAGAAATATTGGAAAACAACTTGAATTATTTATGTTTTCAATCAAATCAAAATGCCACAAAGGAACCAGCCCCTACCTCATCCCTTAATATGCTAGAAAATAAATACCTTTTAGAAAAAATTTGTGAGGTTATCATTTTAATTGTCAGCTGGCTATATTCTTTTTCTTCATATTTTTATCTCTATACATTCCACAGTACTTGTTGACATTTTACTTGAAGAATTGTAAATTGTCTGTGTCGCCATTTAGAGCCCCTTACACCAATATGGAATAAAATATCAATGGAATATGAAAAACAAGTTGTTGAAGAATCCAAATTATCAATAAAACTTCAAATGTGAAGAAATGAAGAAGAATCAAGATTGGACATAGAGACACTGATCTTGCCAATGAAAATTACTCTAAGCAAAAAAGAAACTTGTTTGTTTCATCTTCTATGTATAAGAAAAAAGGCTCAAAGTGGGGGAAAAACCAACTCTGGGCAGAAATCTTCTTCACCATTAAAACTGATACAGGATGCAGTGGTACCCTAAACTGTGGTTTTGTGATTGTCACTCAAATTAGATACTACAGATCTAGAATGGCAATAAACACACAGAATTTATTCCAATTTTTTTATTGTCACTCTGTTTTTAAAAAACATTTAATTTGAAAACCTTTAATATTTTAAATTGACAGTATTTTATGTTGTCATGTATATTTAAAGATTATTTCTCCTACCATTGCCAAAAAATGAAACCAGGCATAATACAGCATTCAAAACTTTTTTCCGACTTTGATAAATCATTTTAAAAAAAGAAAAGTATAATTTGCAGAACTTTTATTGAGGTACGAAGACATAATGGAGATGAAATAAACAATATATAATCAATGTGTTCAGATCTAGAGTGTATAATATTTTGCGAGGGCCATACCAGGATTCGAACCCTAGGCTTCAGGTTGTTTTACATGGTACCATCGCTAAAACCGATCGATCTTTTCTACCTGGACAACGGCAGTATACAATCCTTAATGTGCTACAGTTATATGCAAGCGTAAGTTAAGGGGAGGCTACTGTAAGTACTACATATAGGAAAAATGGCAGTGCAGTGGGACAGGAATCCTTAAATGAAGAATTGATTGATTTTCTTTTACTTCCAGATGCGAGATGTCAAAGCAGTGGGACAAAAGTTTTTCCATGTGCTATATCCAAAAACAAGTAGAGTACTTCTAAAGGAATGTAAGTCAAAGATACTTGTAATTCTTGGGACAAAATTATTGTGGTATGGGGAGCATCTGTCAATCTGTTCTCCACATTTGATTTTCACCAGATAACTTTGATATTATTTGATTTTGATGAAACATGGTAAGCATTTACAAGAGACATAGGCTAAATTTTAAATTGTGAAAAACGTGCTTGATTCTGTGTAGGTTAATGCAGTTTCAATGGTTGAGATGTGCAGTTTCAGCACAATAATTTTATCAAATAAGACCAGATTCAGATGAAAAGTCACAACTTATACTGTACGAAGACAAACGTTAAGTTAGAACTCAAGTGAAACAATCCTTTAATTAAGAAGAGCCCAGGGATTTCATTAGTTTTAATTAATCTTGAGTTGTAATATGGGCTAAGGCAGTTGGTCCCTGTATAACTATTTTGTACATTTTTGGTTTATTTAAAATACCATATGGGCAAAGGGAGGTAATCATTATACAATTAAAAGGTTTCTCTTTTATTGCGTTATTGTTTTTTAATTACTTTTGTTTGCAAAATAAAGACTATTTATTGCCCTTACTGTACTGTTTCACTGCGCACCTAAGTGAAACATGGTTAATCGAAGAGAAACAAAGAATTGGTTTTCCTAAAACAGTAAGGACATTAAGTGCATAAAATACCTTTACTGGTACAAGTGTCATAGTGTACAAACTATCTCCAGGTCTCAACCTCTTATAATAAGATGCTAAAAGCTGCAGCATAAAAACTGAAAATCAACTTGTTTCTTTTCAGGGGACTTGTGGGGCCCACTGATCCTGTGTGTCTTTATGGCAATGTAAGTTTTAAATGGACATCATGACAAAGTCTGCAAATATAAAACAATCATTTTACAAAACTATTCGAAAACACCCCCTGAAAAATGACTGTTCATATGAAAGTCCCTTTAATAAATGGTCAAGATCTGATATGTAAAATTTGACTGGAAAATAATAAAGACATCTCAATTTTTAAAAAACACATTTTATAAAATTTTAAATTAAAATGTACACATTGCCCTGTAAAGAGATGATACAATGTGGTAGTTGAAATTCTATCAATATTTAAAAAAAAAAATGTACATCATGTATCAGAGGTTCATTTCTGTGTTTAAACCATTCACATATTGATGCTCATTGTTGGTCTTTGTCAACAGGATGCTACAGGGCTCATCCGAACATCTGGACAAGATGAACGACGGAGGCCCACAATTTGCTGAAGTGTTTGTGATCTACTGGGTCGGAGCAGTGGTGGTCACACTCAATACCAAACTTTTAGGAGGCAACATGTAAGCCAAAAGGATATATTGTAAAATTAATGGGGGAAGGCAGGGAAGCACTTTTTATGCCTCCCTCTCCCCATAATTATTTTTTACCCCAGGCCCTTTCTCAAAAAGACATGTCATCTTCAAAGCAGCAAATGATCCATCGATGAATATATTGTTGGGTGCTAGAGGGGAAGGGTACTTTTATTGTAATGGATGATGGGGTTTTAAATAATTGTTTCAATATGCATTGTGAATGGGGAGATTAATTGTGATCCGACACATGAAAAAGTACCTACCTCCCTATCATCCCCATAATATATAACTAACTGGAAGAATCTTGAAATGTGGATTTATTTATGATTTCTTTTTGAAATCTTTAAAATAATTTACTTGCACTGAAATCTTCCCTTGAATTGATCGAATTCAAAAAGAATTTAAAAGAAAATTTATCGTAAATATTCGCGTAAAGTGCACACTTTTTTAGGTAAGAGAAAATTGCATTGGACATTTTGGATTATATATGGATTGAAAAATCCTAGATACTTTTCCATCAAATACATTGATAATGTTTACCTTGATTTTCGTTATTTTGCAGCTCGTTTTTCCAGAGTATTTGTGTGCTGGGATACTGTGTGTTCCCGTTAACGGTGGCCTTGGTGGTGTGCCGTATTGTCCTTATAGCTGACCAAACAACGGCTCTGTTTATAGTCCGATTCATCATAGTGGTCGTAGCCTTTGCTTGGTCAACTTTTGGTGAGTTTTTATTGTCTTGCCTAAATGTGTTAATCTGAACTCATAGTAACAAATAACACCTGTGTATTCAGACACCCTGTATAATATGATCAAAAGGTTCTGTCTCTCAGGGCATCAGATTATACAAGTTTTACTGTAATTCATGAATGCGGTAGTATGCTTATCATAGTATCAATTGTAATGGGATTGCGCAAATATATGCACCAATTTATCAAATAGTAAGCCCATGCCTGGTAATAAGCCCATCCAATATCTATTTCAGTTCTTTTAAAAATGCCAACAAATACTGTTTTATTGTCCTGTGATAAGCCCATATCCCTACATTGAGTCAGATATTATATGTTGGCCCCCTGGGCTTATTGGAGGATAAATACAGTAGGATCAGTAACGACGAGGTTCTGTACAAAATTGATAATAATTGGTAAGACCAATCACACTTTGAGTTAAAAAGATGATATGTAGGCCTAATGGGCTGATTGGAGGATAAATACAGTAGGATCAGTAATGATGAGGTTCTGTACAAAAAAATAACCGTTGTTTCATTTATTTCAGCCTCCACAGCATTCCTTGCAGACAGCCAACCATCCAATAGGAAAGCCCTGGCTGTGTATCCAATATTCCTGTTTTATTTCGTCATCAGTTGGTTGATTATATCGCACACACATACATAACACAAACAATTTAAAGCGATGTATATTGTATTATAGGTAAATTATGATAACCGTGGGAATTTTTCATTTTTTGTTCATTCATAACATTTCCATAATTTATTTTCTGTGTTGAACAAAATGTGTGTCCATATATACAAGTAATACAACTTTATCCCTGGTACTTCTATTCAAATATCGCTCTACAATTTAAACTTTTTTTTTTTTCCTCGAGCGATACAATATTGGTGATTGTTACAAGATATTTACGGTACATGTACACATATATTCTGTACATGTGCTGTGAACCTATGATTTTGTTCACAAAACCTAAAAGATTCTCTTGATGTTAAGAATACTAAGGGATCAAATTGGACAGGTTTCCCTTACATTAAAAATGATATTTTATCATGGGACACAAAAGACCTGAATACAGTTGGGGGGAAAACCTGTCTAATCTGACCCTAAGTATTTCAACATCCTTTCTAATCAAACATAATGTTGTAATCCAATTCCTTATTTAACCTGTGTATTCTGAAATACTGTCAAATCTGACCAATATGTTGTGTCACACAAGGTGTCAGGATTAAACATATTTCACTGTAATATGAAAAATTCCTGATAATTATCATGTTTGAATTCTTGAAAATGTGATAGACTTGTATAAACTTACCGGTACATCTTCCATATTCCATCTTCTACAGGATTTACGTTTTAATGCTGACAAATAAATGTAGCTTTAAACACCATTTAAAGTGTACATCATGGAATTAAATGGGGGTTTTTCTAGCAAATTCGAGAGTTATGTCTGAGTGTGTATGAAGATAGTTTAAAGAGTATATTTATCAGACATAGATGGACTTTGTGTAATAAATGTGTTGATGAAGAAAAATCAATATTTAGCCAAAACTTGAATAGACAGATGCTGGAAAAGAAGCTTGGCAAGAATTGAATGTGAATATACTTAAATCCAATTACTTTTGTGTGTGGGACAAGGTTGTCTGAAGCAAGACAGAGGTGTGTGATATATCTATTATCTGTTATCAATGACACAGTAGCATCATCATTGTGAATGAATGGAAGCCAGAAATATTTTTACTGTAGCTACATCCTTGATACTTCAGGGGTTATGCTCACTTTTGCCCTCTGCACCCCTGGAATATGTCATAGTAAAGATTGACCTCGGGTAAAAAAAAAAAAAAAATCAAATCAATTTTTCTGTTGCGCGAAGGTGAGATTCTTTTGATGTACATCAAAGGATAAAACTAGATTTGTTGTCTCCATTCTCAAGGTGGCACATACTGAGCCTTCGATTTTGCTATGACATATTGCAGGGGTGCAGAAAGTGAAAGTGAGCATAACCCTTGGAGGATTGAGAATGCTGTAAAATGTTTTGCCAAAAGACACAAATGATTTGAAACATGACTTTAAGGCATGAAAGTCATGTTTTGTTACAAGCTTACTTTTCTGTATAAATGATCACTGTGTGTCTCTATAGCATCTAAAGTTTGGATGTAGGTAAAGTTTGGATGTAGGTAAAGTAAAGTTTGGATGTAGGTAAAGTTTGAATCTAATTAAGTCTGTTGGTTCTACTAGTGTTATACTATATATCGAGTAATTTTCGCCCAGTCAAACTTTTGCCCTTTGCTGGTAAAATCCATATTCGCCCAGTTTTAATTTCGCCCTTCACGTTTAATCACTTTTTATTATGCTGTATACTTATTTGCTGAAATGATAAACTCGCCCTCATTACAGTGGGCGAAAAAGGCGAAAATTGAATTCTCGTTGTACAGTATATTAGTAGTCCAGCTGTAGCTGTAGATTTCCACACTTTTTAAAACTAGGTGAAGGTGTGAAAGTGATTTTTTAAATTTTATGCAAAATATAATCTCTTCTTAATAAAACATTATTTGTATCACTATTTATTAGTTTCTTGTTGAGGGATATTCCCCCCTGTATCTTAATATCGGTAATGTAAATAAAATGGATGTAGATGTTGATTAAAGTTGTTTTGAGCGGTGATGTCTCGGTTTTGAATAAGTAATCATGGATATATAGTATGATAATTCATACTGTCAGTCTCGGCATTTGTTAAATATAAACAATGTTTCAATAATTGAAACTTTTATGACACAGCGTATCCATGACATGTCCTGTAAATAATCCCAACTTATTTGAGTTTAAGGAATATATGTATTTGAATCTTTGTACATACAATGTATGAAAGACCTTTGCTTATGATACTGTATAACAGGAAATATTCGTGGGTACTTTCCTTGGTGGTCTGAAACTATGAAGATAGTTTTGTGGTGCAAACTTTTTGTGGATACCTCATATAAACAAACATTTTTCAAGAATGTCTGTAAAATTTGTTGTATTTATTTCCGTTGTTCCATAGCAACCACGAAAATCTCAAGTGTTTATAACCAACAAAGTTTTCATGTCACACGTTCAGGATTTTTACTGCCGTCCTTGATAGGACCATTCCCAATTAAAATTTGGAAATTCACAAATTTGTAAAAACATTTATTTAATCACGACAACAATCAGAGATTGTTCAGGAAGCGTCCAGATTCAGCTTTTTCAAGCCAAATTCATTCTAATTCTCCCGTTTTCAATCAGAATCTGATCTGATTTGTATCTTCTGCATGGTAAAAAACGACCAAATCTGTCTCGACAGCGTCCAGATTCTCCCTTTGGCAATCCGACAGAGATCAGACAGTGACCGGACAGTGAACCGACACAATCTGGACTCAATCGGCAAGAAACAGCAATCAAACTTTCTCCAAATCATACCTGTCATCACGACAGTGTCTGGATCCACAGGACACCGTCCGGATCCACAGGACACCGTCCAGACAACACAGGATATTGTTACGATTTTTATCTGATACAGCAGAATCTGTCATGACATATTCACGATTGTAATCCAATAAGACAAAATCGACTGATTTTCCCAAATGTTACGGGATGCACCTTACTGTCGGGAGTGCTTGGCAGACCTCTCTGGACCTTTCCCGATCCGTAGGACTCTGTTACAAACGTATACGACTGCGTTCAGACAATGATAGGACATTCCAGATCATTGAGGATAGTAATCTGACTTTTTCACTTTCGTGTCATAGCGCTGTCTGATCGCAAATGGGAGCCGTAATCGGCACTGTGTAAACGCCGCATTATACAGGAAGTGCAAAAGAATAAAACAAATGCTGTATATACTCCCTTCAAATTACCTAGTTTTTCGCAAATATTTATTTTTTGGGGTTACAATATTCACAAGAAGTTAAATCTAGATAATAAACATGTCTGAATGAATAGGTGTTGTTCAGACATGTCTTATACCAAACACTTGCATGACACTTAAATCAACACATGTTCAAAATCCAAGGGTTTACTTTCATTATCACATCTTCTGTACACCCTTGGAATATGTCAAGATAAAATGAAAGGCAGGTAGTTAGCTATATTAGCTTTATCTGTTTCACAACAATTATGAAACAAGTTACATCAATTTCTATTAATCACTCCTGTTGGCCCAGATGTTAGTGTGCTTTGGGCCTTAATGTGGAAGGAAACTGGAGTACCCAAAGGAAACCCATGTGGTCAGGTACAGGTGACCCCATACCATTTCACGTTCGATTGGGTAAAGACAAGTACGCTAACCACTAGCCACCAAACCGACCATATTTGATTGGTTTCACGACAAAAACTGACCGATCGCTAGGCTGATACCTGTTCTTTGAAGATTACAGAGGAGCAACACTCGTTTTCATAGCCAGTTGATTTTACCGTTATGCTGTTGCATGGTTGTTGATGTAAATCAAAGAATAAAAATAGTCTACTTGTATCATCTGCAAGGTTGATGCATATAGAATCTTCAATATTGTCATGACATATTCCAAGGGTATAGAAGAGATATTTGTATCAAGAGCAATGTCCTTTGTTTTGAAGATGGAATCAAGATGAACATTGATACTTGAATCAGTAAAGAATGGGGCTGCAACGATTTATCGGGAGGTCACGATACACCAACAATATTTTCCGGGTATTGTCGTTCCTCAATTTAGTCTACTCTTATCCGTTCCCACATGGCAAGTGTCAGCTCAAGCTCGGCATGCATGTTGAAAGATGTGAATTGTGTGAAACTTAAAAGTCATGCCCATTTTGGACCAAGCCTATTTCCAGTTGCCATTTAAAATTTGCAACATATTTTTTTGTTTGCTTCTATTGTGTATTGTCTCCACAGTATCGTGATACGTACCAAATCCTCATGTTAATGTATCCGTGCAGCCCTAGCCAGGAACATAAGATTTTTAATCAATGTGGATAAATTAAGAAATAAAGAATTTTACATTGAATACAAAGAAACAGTATTTGTATGTGTTAGTATAAATACAAATTTGTACTTATGTTTAATATTTTGTTGACCAATCTGTTTCAATGTCTTGTAAAAAGAATTTGTCTTTAATTGCAGTTGAATGAAAACATGGACAACTGTTGCATAGATTTAGACTTCAATAATCAATACATGGTAGCTGAAGTTGTTTTTAGCAGTAAATAATTTAATATCAAGGTTTTCTAAACTCATTTATCACTGAAATTTCATGATGAACTATTCCAACCTTTGAATTGGAAGGGTTGAATTATGTCTTGAGGGGTGAATAAGTTAAGGTAAATCATTAAGAAAATGCAATGAAAGATTTGTTTGTTAATGTGTTTCAAAATTTTGTTAAGTATTATTGCTCATTCATATTTTATTGAATTTAACAAAAATGAAAATTCTTCAAATTGACTTGGTGACACACATTGCACAAATAATAGCAGAAAAAGACAATTCTAGCCTGATATGACATGCCCTTTTATGCATATGAAAATGGTGATAAAAAGTAAATACCAAAAAGGAAGAAATCAGTCTGCCAGAACTATACGACCCACCCTTGAAAGCCAAGGCCAAGAAATAAGCATATAGCTTACCGGGTAATCATAAAGTTATTAAAGTTCATACTTTGTAATTATCCATGAGATGCAAACTTTTATTTTCAAATTTACATTGATGGAACAATTTGTTTTTTCTTATAAGTTGTTAGGTCTCATTCACAGGAACCTTAACATTGAAATAGTCTAATCCTTTCACCCCTAAGTAACTTCAGTAGACTAAAACATGCATTTATCTGGATCAGTTGATTATGGTTGACAGTGGTGAAAGGAGTTCAGAATTAATTTTAAAATGATTTAGGGCTATATGCTACCTTACTGTGTTAAGGCTATATGCTACCTTACTGTGTTAAGAATCTCCTTTCCAAACAAGTTCTATATATATACAAGAAACCTGAAATGTAAATACAGTAGCATGAATAATAGTTTAGAATTGGTATACACAAGACTGCATGCATTAAAAAGTCATTATTTTCAGGGGAGATAATTCAATGCAAATATAGCATAAATGTATCCTTTAGAATTCCTAAAGTTTAAATAAATCATCACAGAAAATTTTCAGAGCATACTTTAAAACTTGGCAAAAAAACATACATCCTTACCTGTGAGAACTATGGCTCAAAGGTCCATGTGATTTGGTGCGATATGAAAATGTTAAATTAAAATTGGTCCAATCTTTTAGCTACAGTTCACGCAGCTAATACATGTCCTGAATTATATTGCAGTGCTCTGGTTCCTCAAAAAGGTGACCAGAATTATATTATGGTGAAGGCTCCAGTTGTTTTAAAAGAAATCATTCAATAAAGAAAGAATAGAGTTTTAATAAAATATTGAAACTTTGAATATTCTTTTTGTTATTTTTACATGCCTTTTCTGAACACTTTTTTTAATGAAACTGAAATTCACCAAAAGGGCAAGTGATCTCGTGCCAGGGCACAACATCATCCGACTGTTCATCGCTGATCATCACTTTTCCTTTAAATAATGACTTCTTCTAAGTCATCAAAAGGCCTCAAGTCATGATATTAGCCTAATAGCTTCGTGAGATGGAGCTCGATAAAGTTAGTGAACAGTATGAGCTTGACCTACTGTCATGGTATGTGCCAATTGTCAAATATGTCAAAAACTTCAAAACACTTCCAGCAAGGTTCTACGGTCTTTAAACATCTATATACCTGGTGGTAAGGTTCTACTGCAGGGGCCGATCCAGGATTTCCTAAAAGTTGGGTCCAAGACATTTTTCTCAATAGTCAACGGTGTGCTGCTGAAGGCAGCCCCCCGAGCGCGTAGCCCGAGTAGGGGGAGGGTACGGGAGGGTGTCTTCCCCTCCCATAAGGGGGGTTTGGGGGATCTCCCCCCAAAAAATTGTGTTTTCTAGAACGTCTCAGAAGCAATTTCCCATGTTCTGAGGATTATTTTTATGTTTAATTAACAAGAAGAAAAAAACATATTTTAAGTATGGCCCAAAAATTTTTTTGTGTACTGGAAAGAAAATTCAAGTTTCGGTTCAAATTCTCTATCAACAGCGTGTTTTAGAAGTCAGATGGTATTATTATAGGGGCAACCTGGTGATGACAAATGTATGAATCCACAGTGGGCTTGTTCATTATTACCTAATTTGGCGTCCCGCCCGCAAGGGGGATACGAGAGGTCCACCATCAAAAAATAAATGTAGCAACGCACAATATCTAGTCTGTTAATATCTGGTGGTAAGGTTCAACTGTCTGTATATACCTGGTGGTAAGGTTCTCCTGTCTGTATAAACCTGGTGGTAAGGTTCTACTGTCTATATACACCTGGTGGTAAGGTTCTACTGTCTATATATACCTGGTGGTGAGGTTATACTGTCTATATACACCTGGTGGTAAGGTTCTCCTGTCTGTATATACCTGGTGGTGAGGTTATACTGTCTGTATATACCTGGTGGTAAGGTTCTACTGTCTGTATATACCTGGTGGTAAGGTTCTCCTGTCTGTATATACCTGGTGGTAAGGTTCTACTGTCTGTATATACCTGGTGGTAAGGTTCTACTGTCTATATAATGGGCGTTTATCAAAAACTGTCCTAATCCACATATTTAAATAATGACAAAACTACATTAATGAATAAGAAAATTTATTGATCAAACATATAGAGGAAATATTGAAGTACAATTATCTGTTTCTGTAATTCTGAAATATCATTTGTTTGGTTACCATGGCAACACAAACTTCCAAAACATGCATACAACTTCCATTATGTTACCATTTTTAAAATTTGAAAATTTTATGCTCAAATTTAAAAAAGATCAAATATTTTTAGCATATTTGAGACAATATTATATGTTCTTTAGAAATATATGGATCATTTTACTAATGAATATACCAATACTTTATAAAATATGTGTTAATTCTAGATTTTTTGAAAAGCAGATAACAGAGTC